ATGAAAAAACGTGATTTCTTTTATTTTAAAAACCAAACAGAATCAAGTACATTGTATAGACAGGATTACGTTACCGTAGTGTTAGTTCTGAGTGTTACCCGGTAGTTCAATTAAGCGCCATTTGCAATAAAGTTGTCAAAATGTGACCTCAAATTAGCGCCAAACAGAAATGAAAATGTATCAAAGTGGCGCCTATATAAGGTATTATACGGTACAATCAAGATAATTTTTTTTGTGGCAATAAAATTGAATACTGTAACATTAAAACTTTAAACTTAGAATTTGCAGTATTTCACAATGCACAATGAGTGAAAGCAGTGAAACTATAAAACATGAACTCTTTATTTCAGTTAGGTTCTCCTGTCTATAGGAAATTAGTACCGGTACATATGAAACATCTACCTGTCAAAAGATAATGTACTGAACATGACATTTGTTTATAGTAAAAATATTCTTTTTTTATTTTTACGGCATAAATACTGCTTTTAAAATATTGGGCTACCAGGGATTGATCTTGGGCTACCAGATTTAAAAAGTGGTAGCCCAGATGGACTACCAGAAAAAAAAGTTAATTTCGAGCCCTGTTTATGCGTGAAAATAGCAGCCATTTCACAGGCACTTTAAGTCATTTTCATCAGCATCTGTAGAGGAACTTTTAACTTCAACATAAACTGTGCATCACAGTCGTCCAGTTCGAGTTCTGGTTCTGTCGTGGCCCCAACTGAACGTCCATGAGTTATTTATTCAGACAGTGACTCAGATTAGACATCTGATTATTTTATTTTCACACAGGCAGTGACACGCGTTCTACACTGACACACGTTGGAACATATTAATGGACAATGGGGTTCCCAACCTAAATTCCATCCCGGTGTGTTGCATGTTCTTTCTTTTATAGGAAATAATCAAATATGGAACATATGCTTCGCTCGTGAAAGTAAGGCCGCAGGATACACCACATCACTCCTGAAAATAACTTCCATATGCATCGAAAGCCACGGAGAGGGTGTGGGTTTCTCTCATAGTCACCATTTAAACAAAGTTTGAAACAAGGAGGGGGAAATATAATCTGGTCTCCGTCCATCCGGAGTCATATTTCAGAGACCAAATCTGTTCATTCCTTGCATGTACCTAGTACTTTACCTGGGACATATGTACATGCAGTGGTTTACTGATTCAATCAAAGATGGCCGACTGGGAGCCATTTTGTTTTTTGAAAATGTGGTATCTTATGCATGCTTTGTCAGTTTTTGTTCAAATTTGGTACATACAATATACATGTTAGGATACATGACCATGACGATTCGTTTTGCGATCGGTTTTAATATATTATGGTGTAATTCTGTTTGTCTGTAGACAGGAAGATAACAATGAAACTATTCGACAAAGAGTAAAAGAATTGAATCAGAAAGTGCAAGAAGAAGAAACGAGGCAAGCTCATGAAATGTAAGATGAATTTGTTAGTACTGAATCACCAAACAAGCAAGAATGTACGATACAGACGAGTATAACACACTCATTATAGGCATTTGATACAGTTTCACAAAAAAATTGAGAATTTGTTTATGCACACTGGAAGATTATTTGATTATAAAACTATTGGTAATAATAATAAAATATGGGATTGGTAAAGAACATTTTCCAAAAATAAAAGTAATAGGTTTTAAAATGGTATTCACGGTTTAATACATGTTGCAATAGAACTGTTCTGCGTCCACTTGGTAGATAGAGTTCATGATGTGAAAAGTGTAAATGACATACCGGTACTCAAGTATATCAAAAAATAGGTTATATTATTTTCTGATATTTTCATAGATCTATACTTAATACATGAAGGAAGAAAATAATCACAAAAAATTAAAAAATATTTCCAAGATATAAAACACAGTTTTTCCCAATTGGCTTTACACTTACACTTGCATATATATATATACTCGAACTAGCCAAGACTGCGCTCATCATATTAAAAGTGAGTGTAGGAATTTATTCATACTGTGTTCTAGACACAACAAACATAATAAATACTACATGAATTATTTCTCTCATTTCTGCTTATCTTCCTAAAAACAACATTTGAACTTATTAATTACCATACACGACCGTGTTAGCACCCATGCCCGGTCAAGTGCCCATCCCCCACTTTTGCGCAATTTTCATATTCGGGGTCACATTCGGCAAAGTGCCCACCTGGCCCCTCAAAATGCCACTAATTTTAAATTTGGCCTTTGATCATTGCTTAACGAATACTGGTAATCATTTTTATATGATACAGCATGGACATCGACCGCCATGAATATGTTGTGAATACGCAGACCATGGTAACCGTGTGTGAACTACGCTTCGACAATGACCTGTTAATAAAAGTAAAATGCGGTAAATATTTCATGCCATATTCAGTTTACCTATCAAAAATTGCTAGTTACCTACCAGTTTTTTGGAAAAAAAAACATGTCGTTTTGGGAATTTCTGATTGGTTAATAACAGACTTGACGTGCAAATTCATCATGGCGGAAAGTGCTTTTTATCAAGAGTTTGCGTACGATCCAACACGTTTGTCAATGGAGATAATGATGAAGATTTCGACTTTGACTGTGTTCCAAGAGACTCTAATGTTTTTAATCTAATAAATTTGGGTGGTACGTAATTAATATTGTAATAAAATATGCATATTTTTGTGACCATTTCTGTATCATCATTGTAAAAGTCAATGACGACGCAACTAATTTCGTAATTATATTTTCCCTCAAAGAAGTAATATCCCCCTCAGTTTGTCACATGGTGAATTAAAATTGTCATTTGCACTCTTTTCCGAGGGGGGTGCTCGGGTAAGCACCCACCCTTAAAAAATCGTGATTTTCTGAGTTGAGGACCCTGGGCGCTAACGTGGTCAAGTACGGTAAACAAAATCATCTATTTTCTGACTGTAGAGGGCACTCTTTGGCTGGTTGTGCCAAAGTTCGAACACTGTCTCATACAATTGGCTGGTTTAATGAATGATGTTGCTTATTCAATAATTTTGTCAGTGCTTCTCTACTATTTTCTCTACTATTAATTCCATTCTTGGATATTAGAGGAATACTGTGCTAGTATGTATGTATAGTATGATGAGTATCTACTGACATAGTGGAAGTCGACATTCTGTTTTCTTGCTTATAACAACATTTTAAAACATAATAATCGTGGTAGTGTTCCATATTTGGAATTCCAATTTCCTAATAAAGTAGGATGTAGATAGTATTATTTTGACATGCAGTATTTAACTACCAGAGGTATGGTATTTGATATACCGTACTCGACCGCGTTAGCGCCCATGCCCGGGCAAGCGCCCACCCCGCACTTTTGCGCAATTTTTATATTTGGGGTCACATTCGGCAAAGCGCCCACCCCTTCAAAATGCAACTAATTTAAAACTTGGTCTTGCGTAGCGAATCTTGGTAATCGTTTTTATATGATACAGCATGGATATCGACTGCTATAAAACATGTTATGAAAACGGCAAACGTGCGTAAACTACGCTTCGACAATGACCTGTTAATACAAATAAAATGCGCTAAATATTTCATGCCATATTCAGTTTACCTCTCAAAAATGGCTAGTTACTAGTTTTTTGGAAAAACCATGATGTTTATTAGCTGAAATCAATTCCAACAGATCGTACTTGGCCATCGATAATTCACTTCCGCATTCCGTTACCGGAAAGTGTTCGGGAATTTCCGAAGAATTGCGTCAGTACAACAAATCATTCTGATTGGTTAATAACCAACTTGACCCAATAGTCAAAGAACGCTGCTGCAGGTCAAATCTGTAAATGCATCATGGCGGAAAGTGATTTTGCGTACGATCCAACACCTTCGTCAATGGAGATAATATGACAATTTTGACTTCGACTGTGTTCCAACAGACTCTAATGATTTTAATTTCGTAAATTCTGGTGGTACGCAAGTAATTGTAATAAAATGTGCATATTTTTTGTGATCATTTCTGTTTCTTCATTGTGAAAATCAATGACAACTCAACTATTTCGTAATTTGATTTTCCCTCAAAGACGTAATCTGTCACTTGATGAATCAAATTTTTCATTTGCACTCTTTTTCGAGGGGGGTGCTCGGGTAAGCGCCCACCCCTAAAAAATCATGATTTTCTGAGTTGAGGCCCCTGGGCGCTAATGCGGTCGAGTACGGTATGATGATATGTATATATCATATTTTGTTAATGCATACCTTGAATATTCAAATTTTCAGAGGTGTCTTTGAAAGCAAGCTAGCTGAACTGGCTGAAAAATTCCATAGTGCACAGCAATATTATGTGAGTCAGCCATGTTTTGTTAATAATATTATTGTGTAATTTAATATCAGAGTGTCACAGTCATCACTTGTGTTGTGTTGGAAGAGATGTATACCGATATACAATGTAAATAAGTACAATATTTTTAGTCCCTGTCTGAATGAAGTCTGTAAACTGTTTATTTATTTATTTATCACTACGGTTCTTACAGTTGGACATTTTGCAGCCAAAACCAGTAAAAAATATCTTCAAAACAATATTCCCAGTGAAATTAATATAAAATCAAACAGAATAACCATATTTTTTTTTTTTTAAATATTATGTTTCTTCAAAATAGCAAAAGTAAACAGCTGATTTTAACACAGGGCTATGGAAATCTATGGAAAAGATTTGAGTTCCCCCCCCCCCTCCAAAAATGCCTCTGCAATTCAATTTCCTATCCCACAATTCTTTGCAAAACACATATGTTCTCTATAGAAAAGTCAGCTAGTATTTAGTATTTGTCTTTAGTTTAATTAGTTCTTTGTAATTTTGTATTATAATATGCTATATTGAAAAAAAGAAAGTGTTTCCAAAAAGTTCCAAATTCTATTTTTGGGATGTGTGGTGGCCCTGAAAATAGACAAATCGCGACACCTGGTCACCAATTTTTAAACAAAAATTCCATTGTTTTTTTTTCATGCATGAAAATCATTTCTAACAGATCATATTTTAACATCACAGTAATTCATTTTTGCATTGCATTTGAAAAATGTTATCGTTAACAAAGAATTCCTCAGTATGACACAGCATTCTGATAGGTTAATGACAGTCTTGACCTGTCAGGTGAGAAGACATTAATTATTTCAAATCAAATCATGCAGAAAAACATCATGGTGGAAATTGTTTTGGAGCAAGAGTTTGCGTACAATAGAAAACATTTCACAAGATAATGATAAAGACTGCCGCTGTTTCCCCCCATTGTTAACATGTGGCACACATACATACTGTACATATGCAGCACACAGTACATTTCTATAATAGTTGGTTTTCTAAGAAATATTGGAACTAGATTTCAATGAAACTTGGTGCATGTGTGCTCTGTAGTAATCCACAAACATGATTAGTTTGCGGTTGAAATCCTTGTATTTTAATTAATCATCCATGATTTACATAAATTAGTTTCTGATATTTCAATAACCATTCATCAAATTTATTTTAAACTTTGTGTATATGTGTACTTGAATCACAGACTGCAAACAACAGATGGGATAGTAACAATCAAATTTATTCCTGTTGCTTTAGTTTTGCATCTCAAAGATAAAATCTGATTTGTAATTTAATTTTGTTTCATACTTGCTTCATACGTCTACAATTATTCTCAGCATACAGGAGTTGTTTCTATGCTTTCTTTGTTTTGTATTGATTCAGGTTTATACAGGATTAGGATTAGATCTTATTTTTAGTGATTTAAAAAAGATTCTGTTGCTTCTAGGGACCCAATGGCCTCAGAAATGAAATTACCAGAATTATTGAGGACAAAGCTCTGCTTGAAAATCAAGGTATCTATTATATAGGTGTACATGATTTCTAAAATTGACAGTCACAAATATTATCTTTAGTTTCTGTCGAACTTAGTTCGAAAAATGGATTTGCTGCATTCAAATTTAGGTGTAAGGTGAGAATAAATTTGGTTCTAAAATTTATATTTCTAATATTTGGAGGCATTTCAATCACCTTTACATACTAGGTTCTGGCTAAATATATTACTTCAGAATTGGGGCAAGTATCGTGTAATGTCAGAGATTTTCAATCAATATCTCTTTATTAATTGGGGGGTAAGGTAAGTATAGCTTTACTATGTAAAATGATAGATTATCACCTGAGTTATTCTGATCTACTGGTAGTTTGTTTTGTGATTTGATTAAAAATGGCCGACGGCAGCCATGACGCTTTTATTTTTATGTGTTCTTATCCATGCTTTGACAGTTTTTGTTTGAAGATAGTACAGAGATAAGACATCATGGTAATCGTTTGCAGATTTGTTTGAACAAATGTGCCTGGTGTGCTTTTTCATGAAAACTGATTTTTTTCCTTTTTAAATTTTCTAAAATTCATTTAAAAAATCTGTGATGCGCACAATGTTTAACTGACATGCATGATGGCCAGAAATACAATATTGCAGTATTGGTTTCTCCTAATTAGTGCTCTAATTTGAAATGCTATACAATATACAGTGTGACTTTGTAATCCATTTGTTTAATACTATTTATTAATAATTTATTAGCATCAACTAATGAACAGCAAGCTGAAACTTTGGCCACAATGTTAAGTCAGATGAAAGTGGAGAGTGGTGATTGTCAAGAAGATGAGATTCTATTGGAAACCCAAGTAATTACTGTGTAAGTATATAGATAAGGATATTTATTTATACACAGTTCATCAAATCTTAATGGAACATATCTGCAGTAATGTGTTGATAATAACCATATATCAGCTTGAACTGAAAGTAATAAAAAAAATGTACTGGTAGTGTGCATATTCCGTTTTTCGTTGTTTTTGATGCTAGAGAACGCCAACACAATTAGCATTAGACTACCAGTATTCAATGTGCATTCATAAGAGATCTATGTACAACTGTCAGATGTATTGAGTTGCATCAAAATAATCCCATCATTTTTTAGCCGCTGCCAGACACAGATGGGCCATGCATCGGTTCTCGGCCATAACAATGACATATATGAAACTACATCATTCAAACTTGGTACAAATGTGATGTATTAACTGTTACGTTTTTTAATTTTCTAATTCATGCACATTAAATGATGTTTTCACCTGTTCTCAGCAGTGCATTGACCAATTCCATTCAAACAATATGTTGACATGTAGATAATGCACAATACTTCAGACACAATTACACACTCAAAGTGTATTGTGAGTGTCTTTTGGGGTCAAAATATGAACTTATAATCAAAATTCCATCTAAACTTTGAATATACAATACAATTTCAGACAAATTGACTGTTTTTAGAATAACCTGGTTTTCTCAGTCCAGAAAGACTAATATTTTGAAATTTGATAAGCCATTTGCAATGTAGAGGCTACACTGTAATGTAAAGCCTGTTTCATTACTGATATAGATTATAAAAGTTATTTTTTCCTTATGAACATCTGACTAGATGTAGCCTGACTAATTTTGTTAATGTTTATTTAATCTTGACCAGAAACATGTTTCAGGACTCTTACAAGGCGGCATGCAATAAACTGAAAGAACTCAAAGATGAAGAAAAAGATATACAAGAGGAATTTTCAAGGTAGGACAGGACATGCTGTTATATCAAATGCACCCCATTCCTATAAAGTTATACTCCCTAATAAGTCTTCAGTTTCACCCAGTCCAACAGCTAATTAATTGATAGGGTTCAAAGTCCATTCATTCATCTGTCACACTTTCTCTTGGATATTTTTTTTTACAAACTTGGTACACATCCCTATTTCAGGCAAAGGATAAAATAGGAAGTACAAATTTGTCTGTCCGATTATCTGTCCAATTACAACATTTTTCTCAGAAATTCTACATCAGATATCATTGAAACTGGACAAGCTAGATGCAAAGCAAAAAGCCTGCTGTTTTACATAACAAACACAAAACTTATTTTTTCATTTTTTGCTGTTGTAATGTTTTTCTATTTCTTTTTCTGTTTGTGTATTTTTCGTTGTCTTGCTGACATCTAGACAAATTGAAGATCAAGTTGGTCCTTTTTACCTCTCCCGTATCATCAAAGATGAAATGTATAATTAAGGGGAAAATGTCTGTGGTTGTTGTTGTCGTCGTCGTTGTTGTTGTGTAATAATTGTTAATGGGTGCACAATAACTTTGACGAATTCTATTCAAAACTTTATCAAACTTGGTCACCTAATTCATCAGTATAAAATGTTCCCTTATTACGAATGACAGATGTCCTGTGTGAAAATGTCATGCAAAAATTGAGAAAGTAGTAGTCGAAATCTGATGAAACATTTTGACTGTTTTTACTTGACTGGTCACTCGTGATATACATTCAACGGTCACTGGTTTTGGTGGGAATATGCATTGTTGTATGTGTTCAATGAAGTAAATCATTTATCTTGTAATAATATCATTGGTATTATGTACCTCTCAAATCCCATGGGAATACTAGACTGGGTTTCAATGTCAACTCATGGAGAGAGAGTTGTGGCACTGTCTCATACACATTTGCAAACATACCAATAAAAGCAGAAAACAATCCTATGAATAACCGTAGGGTGCCTAATTTTTTATCAAGATCTGAAGCCAATAGAAAACTCTGTCTGTTTAGTCCAAAGTTATCAAAACAAAAATAATACAAAAAGACAAAATTTTGCATCCACATTTTGAAAGAAAAAAATTTTACTCAAAAATATGTATTCTATATTTGACAAACAGTTCATTCAACAAAACATTTCATTGTCAAAGAAAATATATTAAATTTTGAAAATAAAAATTTACGGGAATTTGTTTCAGGTATTAGGACAGAATTATAGAGCTTTTATAATACAAATTTAAAAACACACTTCAAAGATTGCAGTGTTTGAAGATG